CTCCCCCCCCCCACCGGTCGTATCCCCCCCCCATCTGATCACCAGAACCTGCCCCCCCCATCCCACCCCAGGAGGGAAACTGAAAGAGAAATAGATCAGGGCCCGGGTTGGAGCCAAAGGAGTTGGGGGCGGGAGTCCTTGCTAATCCCCGCCGCAGCCACCAAACTGGTTTCCCCAGGGCACACTGGGAAAATCACTCCTTGCCCTGGAGCCGGGTGGGAGCCGGCACCTCCTAGAGGGGACAGGCCCCGCACCCCATTCCCTGCCCCCCTGAGCCAGCCAGTCCCTGCCCTGGGGCCGGGTGGGAGCCGGCGCCCCTTGGAGGGGACAGGCCCCTGCCCCATTCCCCACCCCCCTGAGCCAGCCAGTCCCCGCCCTGGGGCCGGGTGGGAGCCGGCGCCCCCTAGAGGGACAGGCCCTTGGCCCCATTCCCAGCCCCTCCTGAGTCAGCCAGTCCCTGCCCTGGGGCCGGGTGGGAGCCGGCGCCCCCGAGAGGGGACAGGCCCTGCGCCCCATTCCCCCTTTATAATTTGCCCGTCTCTTGTCACAGAGCAGAGGAAGAAATATTCCAACTTCATCATGGCCGACGTCTCCCAATACACCGTCAACGTGAGCCTGGGGCTCTTGGGGTGCAGTTGGGGGGGAGCAAGGGGGGTCACATGGGCCCCACTAGGGAGAGAGTATCTAGGGGCCCGCAGCCCCGATCTGGCCCCAGGGCAGGGACTGGCTGTCTAGGGTGTGTGTGGCGGGGTAATGGGGCAGGGCCCCAAAGGGGGCTGTTAGGGGCCGCAGGGGGCAGTGCTGTGTGGGGAGGTGTTAGGGTTTGTTTGGGGGAAAGGGGCTTGGGGGCTGGGTGTGGGGGGCTGGAGGGAGGGGCTGGTGCGGCTGGGGCTGCAGGGGAGTGTGTTGGGAGCCTGTGGGCTGTGGGGGGGTTGTGGGGGGGCTGCCAAGGGGGCATTGGGCCTGGGGAGGGGCTTTGTGCTCTGGGGAGGGGTCTGGGGGTTTGCATAGTGAGCATTGGGCTTGGGGGGCTGTGGGGAGGGGTGTTGGAAGCCTGGGAGGGCCTGGGGGGCTGTGGGCTGGGGCGGTGTTGGGAGACTGTGGGGGCTGCATAGGGGTTGTTGGGGGCCTTGGGCCTGGGGGCTGTGTGTGGGCGGCTCTGGGCTCACCCCCTGCCCCTCCCCAGCACCTGGTGACGTTCCCGGTGGGGGAGGCGGCGGAGCTGCGCTCGGTGGAGGACGCCGTGCGCAAAGTGGCCGCCATGGAGAGCCAGGGCCAGGTCTGGGCCCAGGAGATGCTGCTGCAGGTCACTGGGTCGGCCATCAGACTGCTCGACGTCCACTCCAAGGTGTGTGGGGGGCCTGGGCGGGAGGGTCTGGGGGGGCTGGGTCCGGGGGAGGGTCTGGGGGTGCTGGGTCTGGGGGCTCTGAGCCGGGTGGAGCTGGGTCTGGGGGTGGTTCTGGGTCCAGGGGAGGGTCTGGGGGCGCTGGGTCTGGGGGCTCTGGGCCGGGTGGAGCTGGGTCTGGGGGTGGTTCTGGGTCCAGGGGAGGGTCTGGGGGCGTTGGGTCTGGGGGTGGTTCTGGGTCCAGGGGAGGGTCTGGGGGTGCTGGGTCTGGGGGCTCTGGGCCGGGTGGAGCTGGGTCTGGGGGTGTTTCTGGGTCCAGGGGAGGGTCTGGGGGCGCTGGGTCTGAGGGAGGGTCTGCAGGTTCTGGGTCTGGGGGTGGGTCTGGGTCCAAGGGAGGGTCTGGGAGCGTCAGGCCGGCCGTGACTCTGTCGCCCCCCGCAGGAGGAGCTGGAGAGCTACGGGCTGGCGGGGGTGCTGCGCTGCGAGGCCGTGCTGCCCGGCGCCCGCGCCCACTCCCTGCTGCTTCTCGTGTGCCAGGAGCCCCAGCAGACCCAGCCCGACGCCCACTTCTTCCAGTGCGCCCACATCGGGGTGAGCAGCCGCCCTCGGGGACTGCGGGAGGGAGGGGGCAGCCTCGCCCGGACGCCTGGGTTCCTACTCTGCCCTGGGGTTCCTGCCTCTTTAAGTGCCACTGGCTCCGCCCCCTTTGATTAACATAACTAGCCCCGCCCCTTTCACTTGAAGGCATTGGCCCCACCCCTTTGCAACCGGACTCCTGGGTTCCTCCTGCTGGGATGCCCCCACCATGCACTGTGATCCACTGGTCCCGCCCATATGGTGACATCACTAGCCCCACGGTTGCCTTTTAACAGCCCTGGGCAGTGATAGCGCCACCCCTTTTTGCATCATGCCCCCGGGGTCCACCACTGGCCCTAGGAACAAGCCTTCATGGGCCAATCAGGACGTGGCTCCCACATGGCAGGAAGTCCCGCCTACTGATGAGAGGGACTTCCATGCGGCATGAGCCAATCAGCTTCCAGAGGGGAAAAACAACTGAGGAG